GAGCAGTTGAAACAAGAATATCATTGTTTTCGTGGACTCTTTCTCGAAATTTATTGTAGCTGAACCAATTCCGGATCAAAAAGCGCCGACCACTTGCGATGTATTTTTACAACGATTCGTCGCCCGGTTTGGTCCACCGGAGCTTTTGGTAACAGATCAAGGTGCTAACTACATGAGTGACACTTTTAAAAACACCTTAAATTTACTAGGAGTCAAGCATAAGACCAGTACTCCGTATCATCACCAATCCAATGGTTTGGTTGAGCGCGCAAACCGAACCCTTGAAGAATTGATAGCAATTGCTAGTATGCAATACAACAATACTTGGGATGATATCATGTCTTTGGTCACTCATGCGTACAACGCTAGTGAAAACTCAGTCACCAAATACACGCCCTTTTTCTTGGTACATGGGTTGGAGCCAAACAACCCTTTTCGCTTGGCTCTAACACTTCCCGCACGACGATTCGTGACGAGGAAGACTATACGGAACAACTAACCTCGATTCTTAGGAACGTTTGGAAACATGTACATGAGAATTTGGCGTCTGCTCAGGTTGTTCAAAAACACCGATACGACCTCAGACAAAGAGCAAACCCTAGCGATTATAAAGTTGGAGACTCAGTTCTAGTTCGAAAAGAAGTAGGATCAAAAATTTCTGAACGGTTTGAGGGTCCGTTCGAAGTAATCGAAGTTAATGCACCTAATATCACCATCCGTGATGGCAAACGGATTCGTACGATTCATATGAATCCGTTTGCCATTTAACATGTTTCGCAAATAACATGTATAAAGGTATCTCTTTTGAATTGTGTTTTTGTTTGTCGTAACACTTTTTGGGGCTAACAGGTTTTTATCGGGAATCCACACAAAAACAGAAAATGAGCAGCTCACAAAAAAAACATCAGCAACAACAGAGGAAGTGTGTTCACTCCTCCGGAGGAGCGGAGGCCTCCGCGCCCGAGGGAGTGGTCTCCTCGCGCGGAGCCCGCGGCTCCTCCGGAGCTTCAATACCACTTGCGGCCGGCGACGCCTTCTTGTGATCGAGCCAAAAGAAGAAAATAAAGATCGCCAACAATACCAGTGCCGCGAATGAAAGAAAACTTTCTTAGTCTAGCCAGTTTCGAGAAGGAAAGAAAAACTATCTCACCTAGCCCAACAATGAAACCCAGCGTTTCGCTCTTGGGCTCGGGGGACAGACCACAGTTTTTATTTGCAGGCGATGGTTCATAACAAATGCAAGAGTGGCTGCCGTTGGGATAGCGCCAGCACATGCCATTATCGTGAAGTGGGCAGCACAGAAGCTACGATCGACGAACATCCTGAAAACGAAGCCGCTCTATCACTCACTATGATGACCATGTGATACTAATCAAGAAGAAGATCAGAAGTCGAGTATCTCACCTGCCGACGGGAACCACGCGACGAAACTGACTAGAATATTGCATCACTTCGACTTGATCAGACTATGTCGAAATACCTTCTCGCTCGAACAAAGGACATCGATGACGTCATCACCTCCGTGTGACGTCATCATGACGTCTCATGGACCCAATGTGTTTTCATTGTATTATATTTGTTGTTTTCTTCTGTATTAGTAATCCCCTGTTCGCTCCGAATTCTCTTTTCTTTTGAAAGTGAGCCCAAAGCCAACTCATCAGTTCGACTACTTTATCTCTACACATTATCTTCGTTCATGCATTCACTAGGCCTTCGTAGCATCAGCTCAGGGCCAGCTTATCCCGCCAGTGAGGATGTAAGACGACACGTTAAAATATGGAAGGAAGATGGCAGCTCTCACGCGGCAGACACGGATGCATCGATAATCGAATCTATTGCGATGGCAGATTGCACTTGGCAGATTTGGATGCAGCGATGGCAAGATCTATTGTGTTATTCTGCAAATGCAGCCGTCTACTCTGCAAATGTAACATAACATCCGAAGTGCTCGGAAAGTACATCACCGAGCTTGATCGCCAAAATTAGATTTTAATTTCGTGTTTCCGTAGATAATGTGTTATTGTCTTTGTATTGTTTCTGTATTGTCGTGGCTTAGGGCTCCTTATTAATTTTGTCCGTATAAATATCCTGGCCGTTTTGCCATGAGCGGAGCGAACGGCGGATATGCTTTTTCCACTTTTTATCTTCTTATTTTTCATTAGTCTCTCTCTCTGTAGTCTCTCTCTCGTAGTGTTATTATCTTGGTAGTATCTTGACACCCTTCCCAGTAGTAAAATTGTAGTTTATAGTTTTGAGTAGTAAAGTATTTAAATTATACGCGTTTTGTAAAAATTCCTTTGAGTGGAGTTGGAGCCGGGCGGTTCAGCCGAGGCCCCTCTAGTATCGGACTCGCGAGATGCGGGACTGAGAAAAAGGGGCGCGGCTGACAAGCTAACCAGCAGCTGCACATCATTTTCCCGACGAAACCACGAATTAACCAATAGGAAACCTCGAAATGCTATCTTGCAAAGCAAAGTCATTGGAGAAGATCGAAACTCCAACCATTCTCATGCTTGTCGGCAATCATTGCACTTTACCAAATTTGCAGTTCGGTCTCCAGCCTAGCACCTTCCTATAACCTTATCCAAGCTGTAAACAAGTAAGCTTTCTCATAGTAAGTTGCAGAATGATCTCCCTCACTCTTCTTAACTTGCAAAACCAACACATCATTGTTTGAAACGAAAAAGTGGTCGGGGGTGCTTTTTCATTTTAAACTATGATGTGGTGGTTTCACGTCTGCCTCTCATGAAATGAAGTGCTGTTTTCATTACTCTATCTGACAAGGGAACAATGGTGTTAACCTGCTGTTTAACTCATAGTTTGGTTTAGAATGAAACAAGCATGAAACAGTTATGGTTTTCTGCTAGTTACTTGCTTGTTTCGTGATTTTGTATGACCGATTGAACTGAGTGGCCGTGAAAAGATGATCATGCTTACCACGATGTAACCATGATTGAACTATCACATCATTTGTTGGTTTCGACCAAATTACTACCACTCCAGAAATTTCATCAAAGAAAATCACTCAAGTCTTTCACACAACATCAAACTTGAAATTCCTCAGCTTTTAATGGTGAAGTTTGAAGGCTCAGTTGGTAAAAATAAAACTCGTGTAGCGAGACAGAGTTGTCTATCTAACCGGTAGGCGTATTACTGAAAAATGCGCATTTCAATACTGATTCCAAACCTGTCCTTCGTATTTCTGGAAGTCACAAGAAGAGTTATAAGGGTTTGTTCCTAATGGATGTCCTCGCCAAGTTCTCCTGGATCCTCGCCAAAATCAACGCTCGCGCTCCTAATTGTCTCCTACGGCTACAGGCGGCATGTCTTTGGTTTCTCCCGCACCGCATCCGTCCATCCGTCTTCTTCAAGTCACCTCAGAGAGATGTTGCACGTTTGTGCAATGTCACCGCAATCTCCTCTTTGAAGGAAGTGTTCGAACATAAGATTCGGAAAGCATTTTTCGTAGATTTTTTGAACACTTTTGGACGCTCGCGTGGTTTGTTGCTTGAAAGGTGATGAGCATTCAAAGGAAGCATCAAGAATCAGGCCAGCTTACATGAGCATTTTGACTTTAAAGGGGATAAATAACGTTTCAATATGTCATTTATCTGTGTTGGTTCCTTTGCTAATAATGCTTCGACATTATCGAAAAAGATGTCTGTTTTTCGGTACTTCTCCATCATCTCGACCATTTTTTTGATCCTCATGAAACATTTGTACCAACTTAGAAATTTTTTTTCAAAGATAATGATCACTGCACCCGTATACGAGTCACGAAAGAAATCAACTCGTTTCTCACATCAGTTCATTATGTTTTTTTTTTTCAAAATCGTTTCAGGTGAGCTACCTACGACTGCATTTCAAGGGAGTCGATGCCGTTCAGCTTTTTTTTATGAAGGTATCATCAGTGATTCAAAAAATCTCCCTTTTTCAAATTGTTTGTGCCATGCAAATTTAACCGAGAAAGACATTCCGTTCTTCTGTTTTGGGCAGTCTAATGCACGTTCATCCAGAGGTTATTCTTGTAGTGCTGATACTCATTCGAAACTGCTGGACAAAAATGGGGTCATTATTGATGTTGAAGAACAGATTGAAGTTAGGTTAAACATAAAGATGACATTTCATTTTTTTTGACAGGGGGAAGAAAGCATTCGTTTCTGTGAAGTTATGACCAAATTTGGCATAGGCCGTCCGCGCAGGGCGCGGAGAGTGCACAAGGTGTGTGTTGCGCGTCACTCCTCTTTCCTCGTGCACTCTCGCCGCCTGTTTTTCTCTGCGCTTCTTCCAGTCGTGAACTGCCTTCAATCTACGCAACAGCGTTGCTCTCCGTGCGCAGCGCGGACGACCTATACAAGGAAAGACGCAATATCTTTTTTTTTGAAAAGTAGGTCCAGATTACGGAAAAGTAACGTTTTTTGAGCTTTGAGAGAGTCAAGCGGCAATCTTAGGCAAAAATCTGCTATTCGAATACCGCTAGAAGGAAGACAACGTTGGCAATACTCAAGTCCTTTTTGGGCTCTATAGAGTGTAGAGGGTTAGACCGAAAATTGTGATCGACGAAGGCCTCGACTAGTGCGAACCTGCAACCTCTTTTCTGTGCAGTGAATTCTGTATGTAAAGCCGAAACCAAACAGCCATAGCATATGGCTTCTCTCGTAATCGTTTGGGGTATCACTCGCTGTTTTCCATAGTTGAGCTTCCCGAACATTAGTTCTCCCAATGCACTCCATCTCTGCCCAACACTATCAGATCGCCTCTGGTTTCAGCTAGGTTTTGGCTAGCTTTCAAATGAGGATATTCGGGTCATACTTTCACATTACAAACGTTTGGATTTCCTAGCCTCTCTCTTTTACAACGGCAACATTTACGGATTGTTTACGCAGCATTGTTGCTTCGTACTCGTATCAGTCAAATCAAAGCGTGAAATCCCCACCCCAAGACTTATTTTGGTTTATTTATGTGAAGGTAAATAGTGCAAAACGCAGGTATTTCCCTGATAAACAAAAATAAACATTTATCGACCGACATTCGAGATCATCATTTTTGATCAGATTACTGTAAAACTACACAATACAGTAAGAAATACTTCAATGCCAAGGCTTGGCGCGCGGCGCGTCGATGATGGTCAGCGACGCACGGGGTGAGATCGTGGTCATGTAAGGTGGTGTGTGCGAATAAGTATCTTAGAAAGAGAGACCGATAACATTTGAGACAGTATGCAGTTGTCTATAGATGGTGTATGACATAAACACTCTTGGATATTGCTAATAGAGTGCAGAGATGGAATTGTTGACAGTATGGGCTATTTAAGGAGATATCGTGAAGCTCAGTACAGATCGTCGTCTCCTTCAAGCTCATACTCTGATCGTTTACCGAATCGCATCCATTTTGCGTTTGGGGTTCTTTTGCCGAACCTGGAAAAGGGAAACTAATGTAGTTAGGACGCGATACCGTATAACAATAAAACTCGTAGAATTTCATAAGAAAGAATATTCACAATCTGTTACAAACGATGGCATCAGAGAAATCACAGCCTTAAAGCGAGTTAGGTAATGCGCCAGGGCCCCTTGAAATTTCAGCGTGCGCCGCGGACCAACATTTTTCATCGAGCACGCCCCAAGCAGAATTAATCCTATACAGAATCGGGAAATCTGTGGCTCATAAATTCTTCTTCGGGCAATTCGCAAGCAAGAGAAGGCGTTTTTAGCGTTGTAAGAAAGCAGACGAATAAAGCAAAAAAGAAGATTTCTGTTTGTGCGTCATTCCTTAATTAAAGGCAGCGTCCGGGCAGAATTCCGAATGGAATTTTTTCGCTTACCTGGGCTTATTCCTCCCACTGATTGTGAAAATGCAGCTTGGAGGGCATGAAAACGCCGAAAACGGTTTTTTTCACAAGCTCTTGATTTGAATTTTGTCGCCTGCCGCCAAGGTTAAGATGCAGAGTCTTTGCGGGACCTTATGTCTTGACTGTGTGCGGTATGCGCACTCCTGCTTATCGAACTAACTCGTCCCGGTCGTCGTTCCGGTCGCCACTTCTGAAGCGAATTTCTCGCTTCAGAAGCAAATTGGTGCATTGCCAGATGGGCAAGAGCCTTACTAGGACGGGCGCCCCTGTACTCTACATTTTCGTATCTCCCGGACGCTGCCTTTGAGGCTATATCAAACATTTTTTCGTTTACTGATGCTTTATCTTACCAGATTATATTTCTTAGTCATTTCCCAACATCTTTAGCAATTCATCTATTTTGAAAGCCTAGAGCCTTTTGTTCTTGTTCCGGGAGTTTTTTAAATTCTTTATCTTTTTATATTTTCCCATAAGGGTAAGAACGAAAGATATCTGATTCCCCATCTGAGTGAATATCTCCAGAAGGCTCACCTCATCCATTTGGCATTAGGCGATCGTTTTCCGAATCGCATCCATTTCGCAGAGGGTGTGCGTTTGAAAGATGGAATGTTCTGGAATTAATGAATCAAATATAAGGAACGAATAAGAAGTGTTTGCAGACACCACTCGTCTGTCATAGACTTAGAATTACAGACTCATACAAACGGTAAGCTCGCTCCAGATACTTCCAATTTTCGCACGGACAAATCTTCAGATGTAATACCAAAGCCTCAGACCGTAATAGAAAAAATTCCTCTTGCTACCTTTCGAAGATCACAAAGCATGCACTTAAGCTCAAGGAACTCAATGCGAAACAAGCGCAAAGGCCATGCAAGCTCGCAAGCAACGAAAATTTCTAATCCAAGATTTTCAGTTGAGCAAGACGATCACAGTACTCGAATAACGGAGTGCCCGCTGACCTTCTCCCCTCTTATACTACGGTAGGCTCGTTGAAGGAGATCAGGGAGAAAATCCCAAGTAGTGTCAGAGAGCTGCTGAAATGGGTTAGGAAGTTTAGCATGCTTTGTTAGCTGAAAAATATATAAATAAGCATTGGCGATCAACAAGGCAGGTGTAAGCTCTATCCATAAATAATCTATTCATCAAACAGGAAGTCCCCAATGAAACTCTGCGCTCGTGTTTTCTTTTAGTTTCTGTGCATGTGTTTGAAACAAGAAAATTTCTTGGGTAAAAGATCATGAACTTGAGGGACTCTACTGCCTGGATAAAAATTTTATTGTGCAGATAATTATCTCGGTACTGTCTCTAATGTGATACAAAGCTGACCCATCATTATCCTTAGCTCCCAACCGACGCCTAGTCATTTCGTTATGCTTCATTTCTCCCCTATATCCGGACAGCTCAGTTTTGTCAAGGGATGCGGTTGGATGACTCGGTTGAGCAAAGCATAATTCATCATGTTTTGTCGTGCATTATAAAGCCAGACTCAAGTGGTTAGGCTAGGTAAACAACACCATGTCGAAAATGAAATGAAAAAATAGAAATCATTTTTTAGAATATATTCAACTCTGATAAAGTACTGCACAACATTCAAGGGCCATTGATTTAGCCATGCCAGGAAATTGACCTTATCAATAATCAAGTCTGTAAGTCGGGAAAAAGACCTTTCCAAGAAACAGCAATTAGGAATAGGGATAAAATGCAGTTTTTACTGCATAATCTTCCTTGTTCTAATAAAAAGATTTTCTTAACAAATCTGTCTTTTGTTTGAACCACAAAAGCATCACCTCCAAAGTTCGAGCCCAATTTTGAATAAGTCTCCAGCAGTCATAACGTAGAGTACAAAACGTTCACCTTGATGCTATCTATGATCTCTAACCTAGCAATCTCCATGACCACTCACAAATAATGAAAAACAATTACTTGTGAACGGAAATTACAGAAAACTACGTAACTTATTGCTTCGTAAGTGGAAGAACTGCAGTAGTACATATTTTTTGCTTTTTTCAGAATATTTACTCGGTTCCTTCATATATAATCTAAGGTGTGGAAAAATGAAGAAGTAAAAAAGAAATTAGTTGAGAACTTCCTTCCTTAAAAAATAAAATAAAATAATTAATTCCCATATATGTAACCTTTCACGGGCTGTAGTAATAGCTAAAAGAATTATGGACTCACATATTACTCTACTGATAAATTTCTATGAAAACCTTAGAATGAAATAGAACGAGGAAGAACTCCAATGCAGACAGTAGTATTCCGTAAAAGTCTTTACAGCGTGAAAAAAAAACAAAAAGAATGTTTCTTTTGGCATATTATAATAAGAGAAGGAGTTCATTGAGAGCTCTTGAGTTTTTGTTTTCAGTAGTTCCATTTTTATCCAGCTTTCCGTACTTGTCGAATTTTTGCACCCGGAAAAGTACCGGAAAATATTTGTGTGACTACTACGACTAATATTCTTGTTAGTAGGAAGTTTCCATTGTGATGTCGTCACTTCAAGCTACAACTGTTTAAAATTTCTCATGCAGAAACTTTGAAAAACCACCATCGTACTAGGCTTCTTGCTGACCGAACACAATTTTTCCAAGTAGTTGTTTTTTCTTTACTTTTTTTGTCTAAAAAAATCTAATCGAAAGTCTCAAACAGATGGAAAGACCAGAAAATAAACTGATTTCTTACAATGTATACTACCCATCAATTCGAGAGTTCGTTTACAGAAATGCTAGACAATTTGATTTATCACAACTTAGCCCAATTTTTTCATGGCGGTCTGCGAAATTGTCGCGGGAGGGGGGGGGGGGGGGAGGAGGGGGACAGAATATTTCACGAGACGGTGTGGCGTTATCCACATCATTCAAAATTTTTGAGGCTGTTCTCTATATTTCTTGCGGATTTACAACCCCAAAATAAAAAAGGACATTATACTACAGTTTCGCTCAATTCAGCAAATCACGATGCAATGTAAACGGGGTTAGAAATGTAGTGCATATACACATTTTGAGTTTCACTCAAAATAAGATTCACGAACTTTACAGATAGGTTCAAATAATTTCATTCAGTCTTTTTACGGAAGGTTGAACATCTGAAATAATTGTAGAACGACTTGTTAAACTTCTGATTCTCCTTTGTTATGCGCTTTGCCTATTATTTCCATCTCTCACATTCGTTTGTGATTTTCCGCTTATATTTCATGCTTGGTTTCTTCTATATAAATTATCCTTTAACAACACACGGAAGCGCTAACTAGCGACGCATTCATTTTAGATTCATCACCAATAATTTGTTTTTTGGTGCAGCAGTACCTCCCCCCCCCCGCTACCCTCCGCCCTGGTTTTGCAGAAGTTGGGCACTTCTACGGTAACAATGAATTGAGGCACTTACCGCTCGCACCACAGGCAAATCGTCTATTTCATCTTGTGCTGTGCAGACGGCCGCAAGTAGACAGAGAAGAACGAGAGCGACTATCCGTTGCATTCTGTCTGTAATTGCAGAAATAGTGCATGCAATTAATATGTAGCAGATAACGCGAGTATGAGGGGAGGACACATTTCGAAGTCCAAGCGTTAGTACAACATCAGCCAAGGTAGAATTATAATTCAATTTTCAACAGACTAGGAAATCATTCCCAAGTTGTCAACAATATTTGGGCGTAAAAGACGCAGTCGGAGGAAATTTCGAGAAAAGCGTGCTAAACGGCCATTTTTTAGTAAATTGCTGGCAGTACAATCTTGGCAATTTTCTCTGCAAAGTTTGTCGGCACCGCAGGCGCACTAAATCACTCCGTCAAATTCACTAGTTTGTACTAGTTTTACAAAAAATGTCTTCTGCTCCCGTTACCAACATGCAAACATTTAGTTTTTAGTCATTATGGGATACTTTAGAGTGCAAAACATGCAACTATCTACAGAACGTGTGGATAGTTTCTCTGGGAATTCTACCAAAAGAAATGCAAGAATGTGAACAAAAATGTAAACAATGCATTTGAATAACTATATCGCAGTCTGGAGAGATACATGGACTTCAAAAATTTTAAAAAATGGAAGTGACGTTAAGCAATTGAAATAATGACGAATTGCTTAGTAATTGCTATGACCTTACTAACCAAGACGACCAGAAGTTCTAGAGCAATTAAACACGCAATGTGTTAAAACGTCCAGTGCCAAACCTCAGCCCATGAAAATCACTGAGGAAGAAATTTAAAAAATTAAAAATTCGTAAGTTGGCTATACGGTATATTGAGTGAACTCAGCTTTTGAACATAAAGCGGCTCTAAATCCGCGGGGAGGAGATGGCTCCCAAAATCACAAAAGTATTGGGCCTTTTTTAAAACTTTTACCTATTTTGTACTTCTTTATGAGGTGCATTTTGGATAAAAATCTATTTTTGTAAATTGCTTATGACGTCCGCATTCTAACTTTTCATACATTCTTTGGTTTTCATAGAGCTTCGTTCTTTCTGTGGCTCCGTACCTTCAATGGACAGCAAAACATCTATAGAAAATCTTGTTTTGTTCTATTGCCGTGTATTCTACAGCGAAAGTTCTTTTGAAATATACTAATGATTGGGTTTGTTTGTGCTACAAAATGCTTATAAAAATGATTAAAGTCCCATGTTCGGCTTTGAATGAATCTTGGCATGGTGATGAATCCTTATGTGCAGTTGTTAAGCGTTGACCAAGATTGTTACAACTCTTTTATTAGGCTTACGTTTCGGCTGATTCGCCTTCTTCAGAGCCTAAAAAGTGCGCAGTAAATGAAATCTACCCTCCAGTTGTCCTATCGTCACAGGAAAAGGAAAAGTTGTGAATGCCTATAGACAGCTCACCTTAAACCTGCCGAGTGAGGACTGCAGACCACCACTGACATGCGTTGAGTGACTAATGAGCTACGGCACCCGGGTATGAGGGTGTTGGTCAAACTCGCATGACTCCAGGAACGGCGCGAGTTCGTTTGTGATGGCGATGCATTCCTCTTTCCTATACATTTTTGGATTCCTAGCGGAAATCCAGCAGGCTTCTAATGTTTTGCGCGCCGCCACTTCTGATTCTCGCGACAGAATTGATATAGAGATATCGAATTTTGCGTTTTGATGGCGCTGCTTACGGTGCGTGCCTAGGGGGGTGGATAACCTCGATCTACGCATCCCGTCCATGTGTTCTTTGATTCTCAGACATAGTGGCTTTTAGGTTTTGGGGAGGCAATTCGACAACTCGCAACAAATCCTGCAGGCCTGCCTTTCGCACACACGTCCTAATTGCGCTGCTCAGCCTGTCCGAGATGAAGGGGAAACAAAACGGTACCTTATCACTAGGTTCCCTCTGCAGCCTGACCGCGCGCCGCACTACTTTTCTGGGCTCATATCCGTTAGCTTGCGCAATCTGGAGTGCCTTACTGACTGATGCGGCTTTAAGAATGCCATCAGATGACGCCCTCTTGGCCGTTCGGAGCAAATTTCCAATCACGCTGGTTTTTGTACGGATAGGATGCGCAGACGAGTAGTGTATCAAAATATTTTTGCTAGTGAGCTTCCTGTACCAGCTAGTTTTACATTCTCCCCTATTCAGGCTTATCCCCTATTCAGGCTTAATCTCACTATACAGGGATTAAAGTCCCTATATAGTGAGATTAAGCCAAGACATTCAATGCTGAGAACGAAAAAGATCTATTCTTTTGTCAGCCGCGAGGAAATCCAAAATTCCAAAAAGCTTCTACTCCACTTCAGAAAGGACGAAATAATTGGGCAATTTCAAGGTGAACTTCTCTACAAAAAAAAGTTCAAAAAGATTCAGTGGCAAGACTAGCAGTACTGCTCAACCGACTATCGACCACAAAATGAACGCTGCTTGTGCATTTCTACTACATTCGAAGACAGGTTATGGTCCCTTAAAGATGAGGTTCCTAAAAAAATATGGTTGGCGATTTGCGCTCAGAAGATCTTTCTTTTTGTTGCTACGATAATATTTTGAGTATGTATACAATTCTAAAAGGTTTGTGGATTGTAACGCACTTTATTGCGCAATTATCATTTCTAAAAAAAGTTTTGGTGAATAAAACAAGAATCTTGAAAAAGATAGAATTTTTGAATCAAACCAATATATCTTCGTAATCGGCTAACAAAAACTGATCTTCCTGACAATTCTGATAAGCAGTCTATAGCATCTGAAAAATGTAGACTTTTAGATTGTAAAGAAGGGCTTTTTCAAACATGAACATGCTGGATCCAGACTGTTACTGACTTACCTATATGTTTAATATATAGGACGAGGTTGATAGTGCATATTCTGAATTGATGGCACTTGCAACAGAACACATAGATAAAGTAATGTTTGGTTAATTTTTCAATAAAATCGGACTAGGAATTTAGAACTCATCGAAGGCAGATACCCTTACAAAAATACAGGACAGGAGCAGTTTTGGCAAAAATAGTTTAGAGAGTTTTTTTTGGAATTTTGCCAAAAGGTTATTTTGAGCTTTTATTCCGTGCGTGATTTCAACTATTTTGGTTCAACTCCTCAGCGCACTGAGTCACATGGTAACAAGAGACTTTAAAATATGCACTCGATGCACGCATCATTACCTACTACATCATTTTAAAAAATTGGTATTCTATTCTTTAGTGCCCATTCATGCGCAATGGCTACACATCACCCGATAAAATGGTGATGGTTTTTTTTGACCTGGGCAGCCAAAAAGTTGCCTCCACTGCGCGGCGGCTCATATACAATATCTTTGAGTCGTACTTAGTTTTAGTTTACAAATATAGCCGCATTAGCAGCTGGTCGAGTATATTCTATTTTTGAACGCATTATAAAGCTACAAAAACTTAGAACCTGGAGTTTAAAATTCATCGAAGGAAGACACCCACAGAATTACGGGTTCGGTTAGTTTTGATGAAAGCGTTTTATCTGTTCATATCAGGTAAGTCGAGCGGGAGTAAAAATTTTTACTAATTCCAATAACATTAACTTGGACACATAGAAAAGAATGGATAGAAGTACCTCATATGACCTCCATATATTAGTGGCGGTCCCAGGATTTTGATTGGGGTGGGGGGGGGGGGAATTTTTTCAGATGAAAGTGCGCGGCTTCAGCCACGCACTTCGGATTTTTTTGGTAATTTTTGTGGGCCCATAACCCCTAAAATCTAGAAGAAGGGGCGTGGCTGCAGTCAGGAACCCGATTTACAGGCTAATTTGAATTTTTGAAATTTTGAGAAACTATCTTCATTTACAGGATTAAACAAGCTCGCTTGTACATTTTTAAAACCTCTCCAAGTAAATTTTTAAAGATTTCGCGACCCATTCTCGGTCTGCCACTGCATATATGTACTCTCATTTTGATTTCCTCTGGTACTAGTTAAAGAGAAAACTTTACGTAGATCGAATGCATCAAGCTTATCAGATTTCCACTCAGAACAGTCATAGCCAGGTTACTGAAGTTGATGGAAAACGAAGGCTGTGGCTCAACAGTCAAAGCTCGTGGAGTTTACAACCAACAAAGGTACGAAAAGGACAAGTTAGGTTGAATTATTAGAGCTACATAAGTTATTAACAGGTAACAAAAAAGGGAAATCAGAGAGCAGACATCCATCCATAAAATTATGTCTCGTAACTATAAAATGCAACTCACTGAACAATTTATGTAGCGCGCTAATCAGCACGAAAAACGAGTGGTAGAGCTGAAAAAATAGAATTTACACTAGTCGTTATTATTAGGTTGCTGCAAAAATAATTTATAAAACTATAACTTTGTTCAGTCTCAATATTTCTGAATGCAATCAGAACCACCTGAAGCAGAACGGGAAGAAAACCATGCGGTGAAAACGCGAAAGTTTTTTTTGTTAAAAACCTGTTTTTGAGAGATTACAACTCTCTTCAAGTTTTGTTTCTATGGCTGCTAATAAGTTCATTTTGGAGAAGAAATCCAGTAGTATACGTCTTCTTAAAAAAAGATTCTAACGGAGGAGTTATGCGAAAAGAAAAGATACAAATCCAAAATTGTCCGCTTTTTTGAGCCTATTTGTGGTAAACCAGAAAATCCCAAACTATGGAAATTTGAAATTCTTCATACACCGAATAGCTAAGTTTTTCTGCAGAAATTGTAGGAAAGATGTCCTGACCTCAAACATACAGAAATGAGCGAAGCTTTAGCGATTGCCCTGATTATGAGAAACTTTCGACCCATAGAATGCCAGCAGCGAGTATCTATTTCGGGGCGTCGATTTCTCGGTTCGGATACTTTCAAATCTACTCAAACATGCCATAGGTAAACAATGTTCAACCAATACAATTGCTATGTTTCCGAAAGAATCCGTTCATTTGTGCCTGAATCGTGGCCAAGAAAGTTAAAGCAATGAAATTCCGATTTTGAGTGCGGATGTGCAAAATGTTGGTAAAATTCTCACAGATGAGATATAAGCCTAATTCTACCAAAGTTACAAAGTGCATGAGGAAAGCTTTCCAATAATATGCAGATTCCTTAT